TTTCTGTGGTTAACCTTAAATGATCAACATGGATCTTTTCTTTCAACATTTTTGTCTTAAAATTTAGGGAATGCCAGTTATATGACAATGCTTAGCACATCCTTCTTGGGTTATTAAAAACTCTGAGATGATCCTATTTTCCCCCAAATCTTGTCACTTCAACCAGTTAGAGAAGCTACTACCCGTGTTTCCCCGAAAATAAGACATCCTCCGAAAATAAGACCTAGCGCAACTTTGGGAGAAAAAAATAATATAAGACACTGTCTTATTTTCGGGGAAACAGGGTAATTTCTTGCATTTTCTTTGTCTTCTTCAAGATTAAATAGAAGACAAGATAAGCATTTTATCAACTCTAAGCTGTTAGCATCTGCTAAGTTCTAGGGTGTTTAAAGAAATTTATGTGTATGGCTTTATCCCCTTTTAGGACTGAACTGAGAGATATCCTTTGTTAGCTTTTGCAAGTCATGTCTGTTGGCTGAAATAGTTTATGCGTGGGAAAAGACGCTGAAGTTTCCCCCACAACAGATTTCTCTCTGCAGAAGGTTAGGCCACATTTTTACATAGCTTTTATATTATACACTAAATATGGAGATTGTGTTGAAAGAAAAGTAAGGTAAGAAAAAGAATTTAAAACAATACCATGTTTAGTTTTTGTTGGCAACCTTTAGTAACTGTAGTTTCTAACAGACTTTTAGAATAACTTATTTTGAAGAATGCTAGTTTAGTAGCAAAGACCACATTTTCTTTGAATGTAAGTTTGCTTTGAATATGACAATCTAGTGATAAAAGGTTTTCATTTTCATAATTTGGAGGTCAGATGTTCTTTGCATACTTATTTTTATGTACAGTAAGTTCATATAAAAAAAGCATGCATTGAATAAAATTACATTTTTATTTTCTTAATGTTAAATAGTGGATAAAATGTTACATTTATAAGAAACTGATTCCTTTCTTTGGGCTCAGGAGAACAAAGTAGGAGCTTTTCTTTGGGACTAAATTATTATTTCCTACAGTCATCTTAAATGTATTCCTCTTACTACTTAAATATGCAGATTTGTCACAATATGCTATATCAAGGGAAAGAACTACAAATTTTCCTAATGTCAATAGAATCATTGAGCACAGGTTATTCATGGCTTATAAATCTATGTTGACAAATCATCTATTTAATGATTAATAGAGGGGTCACATCCCTAGAAAATTTGTGTGGTAATTTTGAAATCAAAATATAGAGTCTGATTCCATAAGAAATGTACAATGAAACATGAAAATGATTCAAAATTTAAATTGGATGGAAGAATTGATGGCTTTTGGGTAAGGCAGGAATAGGCACACATGTTTCTATAAAAGGAGCAGTCAAACACGGTGGTACCTATTTCTATCGATGGAAATGTGCTTTCTCAGCCGACTACACCTCCTTTCCACCTAGCCATGCATTATGAATTACAACCTATGCTCTGAAATTACTATTACTACAGCCACAGTGAGGACATGGCTATGGGAATCACAGAACCAGAAGAACATGAAAGGGACAATCTTTTCTGGATCCACAATTACAGGGTCATGCATAAGAAAGCCCTTCCATACAAATAGCTCTAATCTAAGCTCTCTCGGTGAAGGGGTCCATAACGAGAAATGCGCAATCCTCCCTGGCAGCTCCTTCCGACCTTTGATCATGGACACTCCACGTACGTTACTTCTCCATTGCTGCCACAGCTCTACCACATGTCATATCGTGTCCTTACAAGTGGCAGAGTTATTTATTTATTTATTTATTTTTATTGTGTTATTTCTTCTTTACTTTTTCTGTGGATGGTCGCCCTCAAGAGAGGAGAGTTCTAGTCTAAGTTCCTCAAATCTCTAATAGTAGTTGACCCTTCATGCTCATTAAACTATGTTAAATTGTTGGAAGAAAGTTAGAATGTCAGAAGAAAGATCAAAATGTTCTACCATATGTCTAGCTGAAATACCTTCTGCTTTCAATTAAGCCCATCTCCTGTTGTTCAGTGTTGGACAGATAAGGGTAAACAATGATACCACATTCTTCAACTATAATCCCTCCATGTACTTGAAGAAAACTATTGAGGACAGTTACTAGGCAATAAATCTTACTTTACTCTTAATTCCCTTTAGAAGAAACAAAGCAAAAAGATAAACAACATAAAAAAGCTTTAATTGATGATGACAGAGAACTATAAATTATTAGTTTCAAAGAGTATTGGAATCTCACTGCTTAAAAGAGACTATTTTAAATAGGCAACAAGTTCAAATTCAATTTTTTTAAAAAAGGAAATCATTAGATGAGAAAGTGGTTCTGAGAGAAAATATGACAGAGAAAATATAGAGGTGATGGGGAGGAGCTAAGCAGACGTAAGTCCCACGCAGTACTCACATTACCTGGACTGTCACATGCATCCTTACGCTCTCCAGTTCTTAGCTATCTAAATTCCACACATGAGCTTTGTAGACTGAAGAGCTTTGCAAGACCTGGATTCTTTCAAAAGGATATTTGATAGGGCAATGGCGTTTGTTACAAAGACACATTTACTTAGACTATTCCAGCCCAAGCAACGGAAATTTTCTCTCCCCAACATGTGTGTTTATTGGTGAGTAAGAAGCGGGTCCAAGAATGATTATGGATGAAATAACATGACAAAGTACACTCATTTGAAGCAGAAATAAAACCATAAATCTGAGCAATGAAGTTTTCACATCAACAACCAAGAGGTGCATTATTCTCTTTACTTTGCTCCATGTTTTCATTACTATGACAGAGCTATGAACATATTGGATGCTCTTCTAAGGAAACATTCGAAAGATTTTATTGTTGGTCTCTCATGTGTTGTATTTATTTGGTAAGAAAAATTATCTGTAAAAATAGACACGAGGAAAATGAATGTGCTTCGGTATTAAAATGGGCAGGGAAGTGGACAATCAAAGTCTTTCTGTCTTTGAATCAAGTTTTTGATAATTCTCTTCATGGGATGAGGAAGGTAATAAAAAGGAAAAAATTTCTCTCTGGAAAAAAGTTTAAAACTCAATATACTTGTGCTCGCATTGGCAGCCCATATACTAAAATCTGCCATTAAAAAAATATTCTAAATTTCTAACAACTACTTTGGGGAGGGGGGGTCATAAGATTACATAGAGAGGACTTTTAACTGTTTGATGAGGTTAAATGTGATGCCAAATGGCATGTTTCAAGCTTAAGGCTGTGATAGAGGCAGAATCATATTGGGCTGGCATCGATAATACGAGAGCTGGTCTCATGCCGAAAAGATGTTAATATAAACGGAGTGGCTGGGGTCGATGGAATGTCATTTGGCTGTAGTATTAATGGAGATTTGGGTATGGGGGGTGTGGAGGATGGATGAAGGTAAAAAGACTTCTCCAAAACCTTCTCTCCATACTCTTTTGTGCTGTTAATTGATGAGAAAAATGTCAAACTAATGATTCATTTCATTGGCTTCCAAATTTGAAAGCAATTTGAGGGTTACAAGATGGTTATTTATTCATTCATTCATTCATTCATGCACCATGTGCAACAATCTACTGCACTGGATGTTAAGGATGAATGGGCATTAATTTACTTTTGTTTTCCTTATGTGCAAAGTGAAGATTAGAGTTCCTTTCCCTACTTATGTCACTGAGTTTGGAGTTCAAGTAAGACAGTACAACAAACAAAATAGCATGTAATAACAATGTGAATAGTATCACAGTTTGGGAAGAAAAATGTTAGGTTTAAACAGGCTTTTTCCCCCTTACTGAATGAAAAGGTGTTTTATTGTAGAATAGGACAGAGAGAATCAGAACAGTTGAAGGTGGGAGTTGTAGCTATTCCATCAAGAGAAGGGAATAACACTAAAGGGAATAAAACTGTGAGAAGAAACACTGGGCAAAAAGCTTCCTTTACAATTTTGTTTGGTGCCAACTCCTTCTTGCCAGAGCCTAGCCCTATAACATCCTCAAGCCTCATCATTTGCCAGTGGGCGTTAGCTTAGCGCTTCTCAGACTTCAGTTACTTACCTATCAACTTTGCAGTTTTTGCCTTATCTGCTTAGAACTTTTATTAATACTTAATAGAAACAGTTTTCTTTAAATCAATGATTTGTTAAATATCGAATATTGTGAATACATGTTAACATGCAAAGTTTTAACATTCCTTTAACTAGAAAATCAGTACCACGTGCTATAATAAAAGGTAGATATGAAGCTCAATATAATTGAAACAGAATCACTTTATTTAATTCTAGGAAGGTGCTATTACCTGGCCAAGGCCTGGAGCCTGTGAAGAAAGTTTTGTATTTTTCCTTGCTAAGAAGGGTAATTATTAAGAAAGTGCAGAGGAATCATTACAGACACACTAGCATCAAATTGAGAATTTTCCTTTTATAAAAACAGAGCTGGAAAAGTACTAAAAAAGTGAAAACCAGATTAACTTTCTTACTCAGAGATACAGTCTTATTTAATGGTATCTCTTACACCAGCTCCAATGTCTTACAGAAATCAAGAGCATATAATGCAAAGTCCTGTATAACTGTTCTTAATTGTATGACGTTAGATTTAACTATACCTTTTTATTCGTCTTATTCCATTGCAACAAAATTGTCAATGAACTCTCCTATGCAGTTGCAAAACATTTTGTAAGATTCTGCCCCCCCCCCCCCCCCCCCAGTATGCTGCATTGGCACTATGGGTATCAGTATGATTATTGGGTAGGTAGAGTAACTGGGACTTTAAGAGTCTAAAGAATATATTCAGGATGAAGCTTAGCACACCCCCTCTTAGGTATTGAGGGAGGCGGGGAGGCAAATGTCTTACTGTGCTGGCAGCATCTTGCAGAAGGACACATGGGGAATTAGAGGGCAGAACAAATGCTCTCTAGAGGGCCTTGCTCTTAAGTTCCCCAACCAGAAGATCACAGTCCTTTCTCATTGATAAGAAACCTCAAGCCGCAAACCACTAAAACATAACGCAGAGAACGGCCCCACAGGACTTACCTCCTGTGAGCATGAGGGCGCATTTGCATAGACAGTTGTCATTATCAGCATCTTTAGTGCTGAAATCAGCGCCATGTATGACCAAGCTGCTCTGCTGTCCTGCTGTCCCACTGTGACCCTTTAAATACAACCTGCAGTTAAAAGGAAAAAAAAAAAAAAGTAAGAAAGAGAAAGAAAGATAGACCATTTAACAGAATAAGAAAACCCAGAGGCCAGGTTTGTTGAATGTATGCCTTTTTCATTATTTTTCCCCTTCTTTTCTTTTAGGGAACAATTTTCCCCCCCCCCCCCAGAAAACATTAGGAACCATAAAAACCAAACTCAATATTTGGCAGTACCAAAAGCAAAATACAACTAAAAATAACATTTAGACTTCATGGTTAACCTTAGAGAAACATGCTTTAAAACACCAGATTTAACACTCTCCTGCACAGAGTAAAACAAGTTCACTCCATCACACTGAGATGGACTTTTCAGAACTGACATAACTTTCTAAAATTCAAAAAGAAAAAAAAAAAAGAAAAAACAAACCCACCCAATTCTAACCCTGGCATCATCATTTATAAAATAACATGTTCAAATGTTCCTGAAAATAAACAGCTGGTAAACCTGAAAACAAATCTTTCACAGACTGAACTCAGATTCCACAGGATCTAGTGCATGTGAGCTGGGGAAGGCAGGCTCTGGTCCCACTCAGCTCTTACCAGATACAAACAAATACAAAAGAGGTTCAAAATAAACGACTCCACCAAACTCTGTAGAGGAGCAGCTTCCTTTCACAAAGGAAAAGGAACCCAGTTTCACAAAGTTGTGTGTTTTGGAAGCACAGGGCAATTTTATTCCCAGAATCCCAGTGTCTTGCACTACTGAAATAAAAGTGATTTTTGTGCTGGAGTAAGTCTAATGAAGGCACCAACATTCTATCCTCTGAGTTTCCCCAAGAGATACCTACAATGCTCTTATCATCCTTTCAATGTGACTTCAACCTATTAAGAATTAACATTCTAAATATGTAAAGGTATGAGGAAGTTCCCACTCATCTACATTAGCACAGCTCTGCCCTGTCTATTCTTTGTCTCTCCCAAACCCCTCCAGTCAGGTTTGCCAAGAGGGATCCCTCTCAGAAGATTAAAAAAAATAGATTCCCATGCTCACTAGTCATTAAGCAAACATAGCCTTTGGTGCAGGAAGACTTAATATTTACAATACTTCCAAACTTTTCATAATTTAAGAATCAACACATTGCCTAAAGCTAATTTCACAGCCCCTTAATATTTTAATCTGGACATTTTATTTTGTAACTCTCTTTGGTGTCTGTCTCTTCTGGCTTTTTGCAGTCATTTTGCCCTGGAGGAAACCTTGAGAAAACTTTCAAATGAAGGGACCCCTCCTGGTATGTGAGCTGTGAGCACTCAGTTGAAGGATACCATTATTTCCCGGAAAGCCAGACCTGTCAGACTGGGACTGCTGGGGTTCTGTCTCTTCTCTCAGACAAAACCTCAGGCTGAAGACAGAGAAGGCGTTTCTCTCCCAGCCATGCACACAGAGGGAAATGCTGTTTCATTTGGTTTTGCACTTCTTCAAGGAGAGTTTTAGTTAAGACTTGAGAGTTGTTCTTGTCTCTCTTAATTCTCAAGCCCCAGTGGCTGCAGAAACATTGCAAGAGTTCCTTTGGCAACATGATTGTTAGACTCTTTATTTTTTATTTTTTTATTTTATTGTTGACACTATCACAGACATCCTCCTTCCTCCTCCCTCACCTTTTCCCACCCCCACTTAGCCCCTTCCCCCGCCTCTGGCCATCACCACAAAGTTTTCTCTGTCCATGGGTTCTGCATATACGTTCTTTGGCTACTCCCTTCAGAGTCCATTTTTAAAAAAATCTAAGAATCTTGTCACTTTCAAGGAAAAAAATTAACACATTCTCCAGGACCTTGCAGAAACTCATTCCTTTGTTCACATACACACACACACACACCAAAAAATAAAAATAAAAAAATAAAAAAAATGCTAAGTAGACTTGTTCCTGTAGCCATTCTTCATCTTCACAGCATTTGGCAAAATCTGCCCAGCATTTTCTTGTAGTCACTTCCAGCACAAGTGATTTTTTTTCCCCTATGAAAGGTCCTTTACATTTGACTCAGATCCTTTGTGACTTGACTTGGCAAGTTCAGATTTAGCTCCTCTCTCACCACTTACCTGTGTCTCAGATACTGGTTTGTCTACCCCAGCTCCTCACTACTCTCTGGTACCACCTGCTGGTCATTTTTTTCCTTCTGCTGGGTCATTTTGATTTGATCTGTCACCAGATTCCAATTTAATACCTTTCCTATTTCCTGCTTTGCGCTGCCTGCTAACTTCTCAGGCCCATACAAGCCATTGCCATATTCACTGAGCAGGGTGTATGCTTCCTCCCGGCACTTGCCCCTTATTGGCATTGCAGATACTGAGAATGCCCCACAGCCTGGGTCCCAGATGCTGGGTCACTGCCATTGCAGCAGAGACACTGCTCTCACAGTCCCCACTCCTGCTGGTGAGAGCTGGAAGGCATGGAACCTAGTCAAGATATAATAAGTGGAAAGACAGGCTACAAAGCAGTATGTCCCATTTGTGTGTGTGTGTGTGTGTGTGTGTGTGTGTGTGTGTGTAAGAGAGAGGGGGGGGGGGGGGAGAGAGAGAGAGAGAGAGAGAGAGAGAGAGAGAGAGAGAGAGAGAGAGAGAGAGAGAGAGAGAGAGAGAAAGGCTTGAAGGATATACAGAAAATCTTAGAGAAGTTTGACTGTCTGATTCAGTAACTTTTCACTTTCTTCATTAACCTTCTGTAATATTGTATCTTTAAAGCTAGTGTATTTATTTTGTGATTTAAATAATAAAACTACTCCTATTTTAACCCCTCCCTCCCCCCCAAATTGACATGAACCCAGACCAGGAGTTTTCCAGCAGCTATACCTGGAACAAGGGATTTGTGAAAAATGCCTTTCTGCTCTAGCTAGAAACTTCTTCAACCAGCATCTCAGGTTATTCTTTGCAGACTTTTGAAGGATAGCCTTTTAAAGCATATTGGTCTAGAATTAAAAAGCTAGTGCACAGCCGAAACCGGTTTACTCAGTGGATAGAGCGTCGGTCTGCGGACTGAAAAGTCCCAGGTTCGATTCCGCTCAGGGGCATGTACATTGGTTGTGGGCACATCTCCAGTGGGGGTGTGCAGGAGGCAGTTGGTCGATGTTTCCCTTTCATCGATGTTTCTAGCTCTCTCTCCCTCTCTGTAAAAAAATCAATAAGATATATATTTTTTTAAAAAGCTAGCATACAAATCACACTCATTGCCTAATGTAGTTGATGTCTGCTCATTTCCTATAGATACTACACATCCTTTCATATCCAGCTGGGCACTCTAAACAAGCACACACTTCAGTTGATCCTCAGGGCTCAGAATCTCTAAGTGAGGGTTGCCATTAACTTCAGTTTGATACCTAAGGTCTTCTCTGGTCAAGACTTTACCCCTGTACCTATCTTTACCTAACACTCTGCTCCTGTGACCTTATCAAAGTCATCCAGCAAGAGTCTCTACAAATCTCTGCATGTGACCACTTCTGTGCCACAGTCATATTTGTGAATCATATCCACCCACAGTACAGTTAGTGAGTGAACAATATCTCTATTTGAGTGAGATACTACTTGGACCCAGGCCAGTCTGGACAAAATTTTTTTATCATTATTGAATAGAAATAATGAGGATCAATGACACTTTGGAGCTATATGTATATATGTTTTAACTTGTGGTTGCACCTAAATATTATATGTACGTATCCCATCATTATTTTTCGAGATTTGATATTATTTTTAGCAAATGACAATACTATTGTATGTTTGTGTCAAAGGATTTTACAAATGTTCTACAGAGATATTTTTTTTTGAGCCAGAGCAAAATATACAATAATTAAGCCCTAGTCAAGTTTTCTTGGTTTCGATGATTACTAGAACTTATAGTCTTTTTCAATAACATTTAGAAGCTATTGCATAATCTCATCAATTGTTATAAGTTTAAGGGTGTCTTTATGTAACTCTAAATGAGTATGCAAGTATACATGTTAGGATTAGAATAAGGTCTAGAATGTTTTTTTCCTGGCCTTCACCTCTATGGACCTCATCAATGACCTGTGTTAGGGTCTGTGAATAAAAAATATACATTTTCCCAGATCCATTTAAACAAGATTTGAAGGTCAGTCAGGCTTCTAGTCTGGCAGCTCTTCTCTTATCGCAAAAGTCTTACAACTTGTCTCAAAGCCTTTTGTCTTGATCCTTCCTCTGATCTCTAAACTGCATGGTCCATGCGGCTCATTCAAAAACATGCATTTCTCTACACCTCCACTCTGGTTAAAATTCCTCAGTGTTCTCCCAACACATGAAGGATAAAGTTCAAACAAAACTTATTAAGGGATAGACCTTCAAAATCCATTACAAGGATTTTGAAGGTCTATCCCTCCTCTACCTTCTCCATGTACTCTCAACCTCCCCCCACAGCTCCCATGACTTATTTTTTTCTGCACATGGACATCATGCTTCAAACTTACCAATGGCCTGTTTCCTCAAGGCAACACATTCTCTCACTTCTCTGTATAGTACATGTGCTGCCCCTCTTCTAGGAACACCCATTCCTGCTCTGAATAGCTGCTGAAATCTTATTCATCTATTAAGGTTTCAACTATAACCTCAAAGAACACAAGACAGATAACTTTATGATAACACATATTGTACATACACTTGTGGTTTTACTTGTCCTCTCCCACAATAAGCTATGAACTCTTGTAGGCATAGACTGTGTCTCATTCATCTTTGAATCAGTAGAATCTAGATTTGTAGCTAATACAGAGCAGGGGCTCAATGTTCACTGAATAAATCAATGACTGTATGCTAAGTAAGTAATTTTCATAGGTTGAATATAGCAAGTAAAAGCCAACTCAAGTATCAGTAACCCAAATACTGAAAATATAGCTGACCCATGTTTTCAGAAGGATAGCTCTGACATCTGATTTAGCTAAGTAGTTAAGATTTACTTCCTTACTATCCTACTCAAATAATTAACACACACACACACACACACACACACACACACACACACGCACACACT